AAAAAAAAATCATTGTATTTGATTCAAGTGAAATATTGATTGTCCTTGAGTTCCTGCACCGCAGATATTGGCAACATTTTGTCAGCACAAGAAGCGAGTAGAAAGATCACAGCAAAGAAATATAAATTCCAACTGGAAGGGAAAGAAGCTTTGCCAGGAAAATCGCTACCCTCCATCTCTCCATCTCCCACAGCTGCTTCTTAATAAACGGTCTGTTGACCTGAAGTTAATGTTTCTAGTTTACAGTAAGCAGCATTTCCCTTAAACAAGATACTGATAAAGTGGAACTAGGGAATAGAGGGGGTGGAGAGCAGATTTGCAAAACATGCTGGACTGAAAAAATCTGAACATACCGTGTATGTCTCAGGAGTGGGAACATGCCTCAGTGTGTGAATAAATATATAATGTATAGACATATGCTCTCCTCTCTCAGAAAGAGACTTCTCTGAGTGGTCCCGAGCTGTGCTGCTTGCGTGGCAGAGCAGAAGGAGATGCTCTTGTGTGGAGGCCGAGTGGGTGATTAAGGGTTCGGGGGTGGCAGTTCTGACCATGGAGCTTCCTCGCTTGGGAGAAAGGAGACCAGGCCCTGAGAGGGGACACAGGGGCCCGCGGGGCACTGTGCAGGTACCGAGTGCTCTGGAGAGAGGTGGTGTGTTTGGGTTTGCTCGTTTTCTTCTCACAGAAGAAGGCTAATTTCTCACTAATGGAGATCAGATTTTTCATACAGATTCAGTTGCAAAGGAAGAGCAAGTAAAGAGGAATCAGATAAGTGTTAGCACAAAGTGGTTTGTTAAATGGATTTTTTTATTCTTTTCCATGAAGCCTATGCAAGCCCTTTGTCCTCCTTTTAATTCCCCCTCCAGCATTTGTTCCTTTTTTCACTGTCTCCACAATCCTCCCATTTCAGCAGAAAAAGCCACCTCCAAAAGACCAGTGTAACTTTAGCAGAAATTATTAGCTGTGGCAATTTCAATATTCAAATGGACATAATATTTAGTAATAGCCCAGGAGTTGTATAAATAGAGTATGAATGCCTGGTAATGAATCATATCAATAATTTTCACATACAGGCTGTGCCTTACACTTCTCAAAGGCCTTAGCAAATACCAATTGATTCTCACAGCATGCCTGCTTGGTGGAGGAGTTGTTATTAGCTCTGGTGGAAGGTGAGGATATTGCGATGCCGGGAAACGGTGCTTCGTGTATAATTCCTGCTGGGACCCAAAATAAGGAATAAAGGTTATTTTGGAATAAGGAAGTATGAGGTGGAAGGAAATGGGTTAAAGCAGGGAGTAATCCCCCAGTGATTGGCACGACTCTTCCTTTGGATACTGTGCTCTAAGCTTGCAGTCAGCAGTAGCATCTGTTCCCATGCTCCACGTGGGCCTGGTGGGCTTTTCACCTAGGGAAATGTGGTTTTCCGTGCGGAAAAGTGGCAGCCAATGCAGGCATGTTCCTAAAGTGGAACATGTTCCTAAAGTTCCTAAAGTGGAACATGTTCTTAAGTAGAACATACTCCTAAAGTGGCATCTTAAAACCAACCCAGTGCCCCTTGTCTGTCTCAATAGAGTAAGAGCTGAAGAGCATCTAAAACACAGGAACAGTCTTTACTACACCCTGTTCAGCATTCACCACAGTATTCAACCCTATTTTACTACTGCTGTTCTTAATTCTGCAGTAAATTGTTCCAGCCTTTAATGTCTCTTCTGGTGACCCAGGGATGCAGTGGGTGATGGAGATCATCTTCTGAGGAGAAAGGCAGGTTACACAGCACATGCCTCAACCAAGAGAAACCTAATTTATCTTCCTTCCTCATTTGGTAATGAATGCACTGAAGCTGACTCACAGCCCAGGAGAATAGGACAGCGCTATCAACTTGTATAAAAACATGACGTGGTACTTCTAGCCTTTTTTTTTTTTAAGCATATTTTACTTTGACATCTTATTTGCTGTTTTGAATGACACCGTACGCTGAGACATTGACTTTAAGTTGGCCACAGTGGTGCTTGCCTTTTTGTTCAGAGAGGTTACATAATTTCAGAACCCATCAGCATGTTAGGAGTCCTTTAAATTGGCAGAACAACATGCACTACACTGCACTTGTCTGTATCGAATTTCTTCTGCCACCACGTTGCCCAGTGACCTGAATTTAACAGGTCCTCCCGGAGAGCCTCACAGTTCGCCGCCAACCTGAGCCACCTAAGTCATCTTGCCATCTCACGTTCTTGCTGTCTTCCAAGCCAGCCATCGTCGCGTTGAAGCTATTGATCCTTGTCATCGTGTTGCTCTTGTCCTCCCTGGGCCTCCACAGATGTTGGCAGGAGGCCTGGTGTGGAAGCGTCATCCAGGCTCTGAGGAGCAGGAAGGCAGCAGAGAGGTGAGGAACTCGGAGCAAATGTTTCCTGCGAAGCTTTAGGGACTCTTCCAACATGCTTACTGAGCGACCTTATTGATTAATTTTCCATGGTGGAATAGGACATTTTTTTTTACTATTTTTTTCCTACCTTCTTATCTACTTTTTAATTCAACATGAATCTTTACCTGTCGCTGCCCAGTTTCTAAGATCCTCTTTTTTGGAGGATCTTTTATCTGAAGCTCACTGATAGTCTATCTAGATTGTATTCACAATTTCATTAACTCTTGCAGAGAGGTGTATGTATATTAGTGTCTAGAGGAACTTACCCCATGCATAAGCAATGCTCTGCTGGCCTGTTTATATACATTTCTCTAAGCTCTGCCTCAGGTGTTTTGTTCTATGAACCAAGCCTAGCATGTTTAGGGAATAGATTTTTTCCCCTATAAAAAAAAGAAGGAAAGAAGAAAAAAGAAACAGGAAAAGATAGCAACGCCAGCATGGCAACAGCAGCTGCTACACAAAAGAAAAATAGGCAAATAGACTTCCGAAACATGTATTCACTGTTAAGCTATTTTTACTGGTTGGTGAGTATGTGGGAGTATTATAACAAAATAAGTGAGAAAATAGCTTACAAATAATTCATAAGGAACTTTAGATGAGAACACATCTTAATGACTTCAGCCTCCTAGCTAGCCCTTGTGCCGTATGAATCTCCACATGCACAAACACAAAGGTCACCTCTGATCTGCTCTATTTATATATTGCAAATTCATACATAGGCACGTATATAATATTCCGTAGAAGAAATAACATCAGCAGAGCATTAAAGTTAAATAACCAGACACTAAATAGTGAAGAGCTGTGTGTTTCTGCATAGCAACTTAAGGATAAATCCAGCCCGTCACGTCCACCTGTGTTTGCACCTTAATGAAAGAGGTCCATGAGCTGTGGTTGCAGCATGGCCCAACACCTTGGAGAGGACCTGGGGGTTGTAGTTGCTCTGTCTGGCTGCCAGCCCTGCTGTGTAACCTTGGGCTTTTCGTTTCATCTCTCTGTGGACTCTTTCCCTGTTCGCCTTTTGTCTGGCTTGGGTTCATAGGTATGAAAGTCTCCAGCTCAGAAGCACTTGGATTTTGCCTTTGAGCAGTGCGCAGCAGTGGGAATTATTAACATCTTCTTGGTCAGCCTGAGCACTGCTTTTGTTTCATAATCCACTCCCCAAGATCATCTAGTCTTTCACACAGGTAAACCACTCAAAGTCTTTACAATAAAAATAATTCATCAAGAATCTGGGAAAAGCAGACTCAAAACAGCTCAGCATCCTTACAGTTAAAAACCCGACCATTTTTTTCTGTGGGAACCTGATTTTGCAATCAGGTGTGTTCCATGACAGACCCAGTGAGGCAAATTCAGTGTCCTGAAGCTCCTCCAGCCGAGGATCCTGATGCTTTTAGCAGCACAAAGACCAACGGCAGCCCAGAACTTAATGCAAGCAAAGCGAGGTTTGTTTGCCTTTAGAAACAACACAAATCTGTTTTGCTGGTTAAATAAAGTCATTTGCGGGGTTCTGTTGTGGGAACAGTGTGTCAGCTCGTCCTGAATGCAGCAGTCATTCGGATGAATAGCTTGGTTGTTGGGCTTTAATGACCCTCTGCACACTTAAGTGCCCTTTATTGACAGCCTGCGCTGCTAGCAGCTCTGCTCACATCCTGGAGCCATCATCAGCTGCAGGTGCTTCGGTATTTACAGCACAGCCCCAGGATAATCACTGCAGGAGTTATCGTGGGCATCCCCCCAGTGCTATGTGGGGCTTGTTTATTTACTGCAAAATGTTCTTAATCCCCTATGTTGTGTGTTTCCTGCCAGCCTTATGGTTTGAGAAAGCTCTGCTGCCTCCAGTAAAGGAGGCAATTGGAGTTGGGCACCAAGCCCTCTACACGCATGGGCGTTGAGGACATGGAAAGCCCATTTCTTCTCGTCTCTGTGGCTCAGGTCAGTGATATGAGGAGCTAATGTTAGTGAGGGAGTTTCTGAGATCTTAAAGAATTAAAGTAGCAGCAATGCCCAGACTGGGTTTATAATTGTCCTTGTTATTGTAGATGTGTTCTTGAAAGTTTGGAGGATAACATGTAGTGAGTGAAGTTGGTGAAGATCTCCAGGGGATGTCAGAAATGAGGAAACAGCAGCTAAAGTGTTTTGGTTCCCTCTGAGGCTTTCTTCAAATTAAGTTGAAAACAAGCAAGTGAAATGCGACACTTAAAAGCACTTTGTTTGTAAGATTCTTTCTGTTTCTAAATTACTTCATTTAAACATCTTTGTCTACAAAACCTCTAAGGAAACTCATTCTCTTGTTTTCTCATCTGCATCCTCTGTATGCATTTTCCACAGAAGAAAGAGTGTGAGTATCTCATGGACATTTATATATGCAAAAACACATGCTAGGAATTGTAGACTGCAGACTGCTTGAACAGATAGAGGTGTGTGATCTAAAATAAACCTGCTGACTTAGTACGTGCTCTGTACCGAGGTACCCACTGTTTGCCGAGATCTTTTGCTGTGGCCTTCTGTAATACCTGAATATATATTTACACTGTTTCTATAATGCATTTAGAGCACAAATAGCCTAGATTCAAGCTACTTGAAGAAATATTTCTTGGCTCTTTTGCTGTTTTGTTAGTGTTTTTTGTTTGTGAAAACAATTCTCGAGAGTATTGTTAGCTGTATCATAGCAGGAACACCTCTGGGCGAGCTTGGGAATGTGTCAAAGCAGGTTTTGAGCGCTTTTATTTTCACACCATGTTTTGGTTCTGTAGCAATAAATGTTTTCTGGGTAGAAACCTGCAGCCCCTCCTCTTGCAGGTCTCACTCCTTGGAATGAAAAAAGATTTTTTTTTCCTTTTTTAAAGTTTCAGGGCTTTGTTTGCAACAGGATTGTGCAGTTCACAGCCAGTAACAAGACTGATCAGCTCTGTGGCCAACAGTGCAAAGTGGAAAGCTGCTGTTGAGTGCAGCAGCTTAGTGCCACCGGGCAGGTGGGCTTTGTATAGGACATATTGCAGAGAGGGAAGGCAGTGGCGGCATGGAATAAAGGAGAGAAGAGCAGATCTTTTAGGAAATTCCCCACTGACAAGTTGACCTGCAAGTCAAGACAGGCAGATAGCCCCTGCTAGAATTTTTCTCTGCTTTTTTTCTGGTCTGTGTGCTGGGCATCTTTCAGCGGGGGAAGCATCACTGGGGGTCCTGTGCAAGTGTCCTCAGGTCAGGACAGTGCTTGGAGCTTCTAGGGGGAAGAAAGGCCTGTTCACACTGTCTGTGGGCAGCATCCTGGCTCTGCCTCTCCCCCTGTGGTAGAACAAGGCTGTGCAGGCCGTGTGTCACATCTGCCTTTCATTGCCCCGCTTCCTTGTGTGCCAAAGTGGCATGTGCTCCTACCAGCCCAACTAAGAGCATCCTGCAGAGGGAATGAATGCCAGGCAGTGGCTTTATTTCTGCAGCCTCATAACCACCGGCAGCCCAATCATTTCAAATGGGTCTCAGTCAATATGTTCAGATATGAGAAAGAACTTTTTTAAAAAAATAAGATGCATTTAAAGCTAAGGGTTGGCTCCAGCTTTAGTTATTTACATTGGGGGTGGGGGAGGTAATTTTTTTTTTTTTTATTAGTGTCACTGTTTAAATATTTTGGCTCTATCTTCCAATATTGTGGCAAGAGGGAACCATATGTGTTCCTAGAAAGAGAGCCTAGTACAGCCGTTAATCAGGAGAGGATCTATTAATGTATTAACATTCAGAATAACGAGCAGGAACAGCATGCACTGGAGAGACTAACGCGTATCTTCAGTCTGTGGCTTTCGAGTGTTTGGAAAACGTTATATCCCTCCATCTTTCCAAAGCTGAACTGCTGCCAGAGGAAGTTCTGTTCTGCTCTTAATTTTAGAAAGGTTAAATCTATTTGCAAAAGTAAACATAAGCACGGAGGAATGGAAAGCGGGAGGATGCGGGAAATAACAGGCTTCCAGTCTGCAGAGGTCACTGTGGGAGCTGCCGTGACAGTGAAGCACGATGGCATTTCCTTAGTGCTGGCCCGGGAGGGGGACGTGCTCGGAGAAGAGGAGAACGTGGAGTTCTCCTCAAATGGCTGTGTCACCTTTGCTGCGCACGCCCCCGTCTCCAGAAGGCAATGGACTGTAGATGGGTATGTTTGCAGATAGCAATTGGGCTGGAGGGAAGACTGCTGAAAGACTTGGCACAGGGAAAGGGCAAATTTTAAAGAGCTCCGTGTGCGGGAGAGATTGCTGGTTGAGCAGCTTGGTTGCCTCGAGGTCATTGCTAATTAGCTGCATCTTGCCTAAAGAAGTGAACATTACATTTTAATGCTGCTATGAAAGCGAATCATGCTGTCTTCCCCTTTGCATCCCATGCTGCTGCCTGCTTTGCTGTGGCATCTGGAGCAGGCTGCACCAGGGAAGGGAAGAAAGCATTGTACAGGCTTTGGAAGGGATGGATGCTGGAGCGGTAGCAGGCTTGAGATGAGAGAGGCTGGAGTATGACAGCTGTTAGTGGCTCATGCAAAAAGCCTGCCAGCAAAAATGCATCAATTTGTGTGATATCCGTGTGTCTTGTCTTGTGTTTTCGTAATTGCATACATGGTGTCTGCACAAACCCTGCTCCCGCGCCGCAGCGAGAGGAGCTGAGTGGCGGGTGACAGCCCGTCAGTGGGGAACACCAGCGAGAAGAGACACGCGAGCAGATGGGTGTCACCTGGGCAGGGTGAAGGCCCCAGGCACGTTCCTCCAAGGTGGCTCGAATATGGAACTCACTAAATGGAAAACCTCTCCTTTTCCCTAGGGGAAGAGTAGCATGTTCATCCAGACATGAGAGCCAGCAGTGCTGTCCTCCCGTGTTCTTCAAGAGTTTAGAGCCCAACGACAGCACGGTTATGTGGATATTGATGCACTCCGAGAAATCTGCTTCCCCACAGTGGGTTTACAAGCTTTTAAAGATCAAAACCCAATCCTAAAGACACACACAAGAAAATGTCTTTCCTATTTTGTGTTCAAAGGAAGCCACCTTCCTTTCCTTCTCTGACCCTCAGGGAGTGACAACTGTCTTGCTAAAGTTAGTCCTGTTGACAGTTGTGCAGATGACAGCCATTTGGAATGGGGGAAAAAGAGAGAAAAAAAAAAAACAAGAACAAGGAAATTGTGAGTCAAGGGAGATGTTTTTATTGGTTTTGCTGGCTCACAATAAGATTGTGAATTTTGGTGTATGAGTTATTGATGTTGCAAGAGCAACTGAAGTTATTTCCAAAGCCAATACTAGAATTTTGCTTTGGCAGCTTGTAATTGTGAGTATGTCACGCAGCTGCATAAGAAGAGGCAGTTATTCACTAGTAGGAGACTGGTGTTTTCTGAAAAAGGGTCAGACCAGACTTTTCCCCCATATGCTGTTGTTGCTGTGCTCTTCTTGCTCCTATTTGAACAGCAGCCTTAGTTTCCATAGTGCTGAATGTAATGCAGTGCACTGGATCTACGTTTAGGTGACTAATGTATGCTGTTGCTTTCCTTAATGTAGGGTTTAAACCTGCATTTTTGCCCAGAGTGCCAGACTATGACACATAAGAACGAGAAGACAGTAATGAATAAATATGGTGAGAACTTCAGCTGTAATCTGCCACCAGGTCCATCTGTTGCTTCTTCCCCCACAAGCCTTGCAGACTCAATGAGCTGGGCACAGACATGCTCCATAAACTGTCCCACCCTGCAGTCATGTATCTAAGGTCTAATTGGCTGGTTATAATCAAGCTTATCACCATTGGTCTCTTGATCCATTAGTGGTCACAGGACTTTCTTGTCCAGTTCTTTAGCAATTCCTTCTTCCTGCTCATGATGAGACCATGAGCAAAGATACCAAAGATTATGAGGTGGATAAACATCTTAATGCCATGCTGGTGTGCACTGTGTCACGGAGCACGTTCTCCATTGAGATGTTCCTCATGGATATCACACATAATCTTTCATTTAGCCATTCCCAGCCTGTCTCCCACAGTTGGCACTCAGAGCCCGTCTCTTGCAAAACTACCCACCTGGCTTCCCAAAGAGGAGAGTTGTTTTCCAGGCAGCAGCTAGAGAGTGCTGAAGTCTGTATGACCCATTTGCACCCTGAGTCATACAGAGTTAGTGCTGCTTTTCTCAGCTTATTTCTTCTGATCTGGAGAAGGGAAAACAGAAGCTCCTGGCAGGAGCATGATGCAGAAGCAACTAAGCAGAAGAGTGGCGCGTGTCTGAGATGACTCAGTGTGCAGCGAAGGCTCCGGCAAGTCTTGCTGTTGGTGAGCAGGAGCAAACTCTGGGAGAGCCGTTGCTTATCTCCCAGGCAACTCGGCAGCTTGCAGGAGGTTGCCATCAGCATCACCACCCTTCCATCCACCTCTTGTCGAGGCGTGATCCTCTCTGACAGATCTTGTGTTCACAGCTGCAGCTCACAAGTGGACTGTCTGCTCGCTTTGGGAACCAAGCCATCTTAATTAAAGCCCACACAGGAATCTTATCCCATTTCTCCTGTAGCTACTTCCTTAATCATGTTCCAGAAGTCCATGTCCTCAATTCTGTGCTCCTCCTCTTGCTTCCAGCTCTCTTTCCAGCAAGAAAGAGGGAGAGGAATTTAATAAGGAAGTTTACTGATCAGTGAAATAAATTCCACTTCTAAATTAGAGGGTTTTTTCTGCTCAGAGTTCTTTGCAGAACTTCTACTTCTGGTTCTCCTGGGAGAGTGTTTTGGGACCTGGTTTGAATGCCCTTCCCTTTGCTTCAAGATGCCATTCTCAACAGATGCCAGGGCAGACCAGGATGATAACACCTGCCTCTGGGTGGCAGGGCCATAAAGAAATACAGGGCTGTTATTAAAGCGTTCTTTTCCTAGCCAAATAACACCCAGTCCGTAGCATTATGGGCTACAACTGCAGAGTCATTTTAGAGCACGGAAGAGATTTT